TCAGTCGAGGCAGCTGTTCAGATGTGTCCGCTCAACAATCGGCCCCAAAACTGGCGGGACTGTGGAATGTCATAATTACTACCTGCACTCGTAACATCCCAGGACAATGTAACCTGATGTCGTGGTATGAACCTCACCGTTGCTCCCCTAAGCCAGCCTTGCATAGACAGGCCAGAAGATCGTCTGTGTGAATGCCGACCTTGCCCGCGAGCTTCATGATGGCGGAAGGTGTTGCTACGAGAAGAGTGTCCGAAGGAGGGGCCGGGTCGGAGCTTTACGTCGCGGTCCAGAAACCCAGAGGAATCGGCGCTGTGATCAAGTTGCCGAGCGTCGACCGGTCAGTGTTGGCGGCACGACGCTTCGCAGCTCTCACCAGGCCATGGATAAGAGTTTTACATTTTTGTTTGTTGGCTGAAAGCACGTGTGGCACGTTTCTCAAGGGGATCCCAGTCGGTGTGGAGGACTAGCAGATGGTCCAGCAAAACACCGCCTGCGATAGGCTCCGAGGAACCGTGTTCAATCACGTTGAGACTTCACCCAGCTCTAATGGCTGCGCATGGCGTTTTCCTTCGGGCTCCTGTTCCAGAACAGCCCTCAGATCGTCGAACTCCCTGCTCAGTAGACGAATCTGGGATACATCAATTATGGGAGAGCTAAGCCAGCAGGCCTCTGGGCCTCTGCACCTCTGCACCTCTGCACCTCTGCACCTCTGCACCTCTGCCTCGTCCGTGGCGTTTTGATCCGCCCAAGTCGAAGACAAAAACTCAGGTGGCGTGTAGGGCATGTCTGCCATACCACTTGAAGCTAGGGTATTAGCTCAGCGCCTGCCGGTGTCGCAAAACAACTGGAAGGATGCCAAGGAAGAGAAACCCACTTCCACTCCCTTTTACGCGCGTCTTTCATCATGTTGCACCTCTGCACAATTCCGCCTCCCCAAAGACAGCTCTGGGTACGAGACTAAGATTAGTGCGATGTTGTCTCCGCCTTCATCTTTGGCCCACTTGTGGAATACGAACGGGCTCAAGCGCTAACGTGTCACCAAGTGGTCAAAAAGGATAGGACGGGGGGGGGGGGTTCTGAATGCCAAGACGCTAATCAGCTGCATCCCCACCCACGCCTTCGTATTGACGATGACTTCATTCTCAACAACAACGACGTCATCGTCGTCGTCGTCGCCTCAAATTGAAGCTCTGAGGCCTTCTCGCGATGCGCTACATGCTGCAACTTACCCGATAGTCCTCGTACTCAATTTGACCAAGTTACACGATGCCCGGAGTTGAGCATGATACGCCCTCCCGGGCCTCCGTCCGTGCCGTACTACAGTACCTGCAGTGGACTGGATGCCTACCTAGCAGCAACAACAACACCGACAGAGACCCCAGATGCAGCCATCCAGAGCACACAAAGGAGGCCGTTTTCAAGGCTTTTGGTGTTTCTCGTAGTCGCGGTTATGCCTGGCTCAAAGAAGCGCCTCTACAGGAGTGCTGGGCCCCAAGAGACACGTCGCCGTCGCGCGACGCGCCGGCCAAAAAGCGCTGTACAGACTGGGCATCTCGCCGCAGTACAAATAACCCCCATATCGCAGAGCGGCGAGGGCGCCCTGTAGGCTTCACTCTAGAGGACGGCGAGGACCTCCACCATTGGCTAATCAGCCTCCCAGAAGACGATAAATACCAGGGCTTCAGGCTCCCGTGGCCCGTCGCAGCAGCAGAAGCAGACATCGACATCCACGTCTCAGAGCGAACAATCCGCCGCCGCATGGGTAAACTGCAGTACGGCACCCGCAATTCGTCGCAGAAGGACGGCCTAGACGATACAACGAAGGCCAAGAGTTGCCTACGCAAAAAAGCAGCTTCTCGAAGGAAGCTGGGATAGCGCAGAATGGCGGAGAACCTGCTTCTCTATGGACGAAGTTCATTTCGGCTTTCAACCTGCACTGACGACAAAGGTCCACCGCCGACCTGACCAACGTAACGAGCACTGGGTCGTCCAAACCAATGACCCCCAGAAGAAGAAGAAGAAGTTCCAGAATGCCCGCCGGACGATCAGAAATACAGAGCAGGATGCTGCATGAGCAGATAGCCTAGCGGACGAGAACGAACAGACTCTTCTCTATGCTGTCTGGGCCGTTGGATATGACTTCAAATCGAGGCTATATTGGTACACGATCCCGACGAACAAGAATGGCAAGATGACGGCGGCAGTACTTAAACCAATTCTAGGCCAGCTATTTACGGAGATACAGCAGCATGTTGGGCACGCGGGCTTCCGCCTATATATGGACAGCGATAGTAGCCATCACTCTAACGCAATACGTGACTGGTGTAAAGACAACGACCGTCACATCGTGATAGGCCCAGCCCTCTCTCCTGACCTTAATTGGGTCGAGAGCTCCGTCAGACGCATCAAATGGCACGTCAAAAACAGCCCCCATTTGACTACTGACGACCTGAAGGCAGTCATCGAAGCAGGGCTTCAAAAATGCACTCAGAAGAAGGTCAACGACGACCTCAATAGTATGAAGCACCGACTTGAGCAGGTGATTGCAGCAAATGGCAATAGAACGAAGTACTGAGCTGATTGGGCAGAGGCTTAAAAAACCTCCACTTTTGTATGGAAGTTGAATGGACAGCTGGAAATATTGTTAGCGCCGAGCAAAATCAGGGGGTCCCCCCGTCCTATCCTTTTTGACCACTTGGTGCGTGACCCTGCACGGGCATTGACGATGACAGCTGAGACAAAGGCATTGGCCAATCAAGGCGTGGCCATTGCCAACGTCATCTGCTGTCATTGTCGGTGGTAGTGATGATGGCCGAGGCTTCACCCTGGCTGCTCGAGCTCCTGGCAAGATTGACGTGAGAGTGACGGCTTGGCACATGATGACATGCAAGGTATTGTCAATCTCTGGCAAGACATTGGCTCGCCGACACGCTCAGCTGAGCTGTCGATACCCTGGCGATGCTCTTTCGTCACAGTTGCACATGTCAGCGCTACTCGCGATGGCTGTACCCAGGCAGTGATGCGTAATGTACGTATGATTGACGTTGCGGCTGTTCTCACTGGCGACGGACGGGACCCATTCCCCCGGGCCGGGACCCGACGCTGTCAACCACTCACCGGCTCCGGACGGCACCAGCCGCCTTCCCCACACTCCCCGTGTTCTCGGACCAAATGCTCCGGCACAAAGTAAAGTAATTGTACGTGCAATTTTGACATCATCTTGGGCTGCTGCCCTACTGCCTATTTTACATTACCACCGCCGCGCGATATCCCTGCCCCCAACCGCATTGAATAGCCAGCTGATGCCAATCATGAGCGTCCGCCGCCAGCTCCGCTGCCAGTGGAAGATGCTGCCGCTCCGCCAGGCCAGCCACGCAGAGTGGCCCGTCCACTCCTCCCGACCACCGATCACGCCGTCGTGCTGGCCGAGGTACGCCAGGTTGGGCTTTTGCTTGTACACAAAGGACGGGGCTTGCAGCTCCTCCTCTTCGGCCGCGTTGAGCTGCCTCGCGAGATACTCTGCCTTTTGCACCGCCACCTCGGCCAGCGTAGGTAGCGCGTAGCCTTCGATGTCCGCGCAGTCGCCCAGCGCATAGACATCCGGCATGATCTCGCCGTCATGCCCTGTTTCTTTCCCGTGATATTTATCGCCTGCTGCCTCCGCGCACCTCACGCGGATCTCCTGTCTGTCACAATGCGCTGCAGCTTGCCCGCCTTCTGTACCTCCTGCATCTTCTCGACCAGCGGGTTCACCCCATTACCCGTTGCCCAGATGAGCATCCCGTACCCCAGCGGGCGGTCCTCGCCGTGCTCCTTGGTATAAATGACCCCGCCCTCCACTTTTGTAATATGGCTCCCCGTCTCAATGTGCACGCTGCGGCTCTGCAGCTTGTGCAGGGCGTACCCGGCGAGCCGGTCGTCAAACGTGCCCAGGATCACGGGCGCCACGTCGTGCACCTCGATGCTGAACAGCGCCCCACCACCACCACCTTCCTCTCCGCTGGTGTCAAGGTGCGGATACAAGAACCGCAGGTCGTGCTGCCACAGGTCGTACAGCTCGGCCGTGGCCTCGTTGCCAATGGCCCCGCCGCCGACGACGACGACGCGCAGCATGTCGCGCTGCTGGGTGCGCGTGAGCCCGGGAGTGGACGCCGCGTCGAGCATCTCGAGCAGGCGCTGCTGGATCTGCCGCGCGTCGTCGGTCGTGCGGAGGAAGTGCGCGTGCTCGACGGCGCCGGGCGTGCCGAAGGTCTGCACGGTGCAGCCGGGGGCGAGGATGAGGATGTCGTAGGGCATGGTGAAGGTATGGGAGTGGGAGAGGTGGTTATCGGCTACGTCCGGGACCGAGGGGCTGCAGTGCAGCGTCTTGCGGGCAAAGTCGATGTCGTCGACGGTGGCTTTGTAGTAGTGCAAGCCTGAGACGCGGTTGCGGCGGCGGACTGGCTCCTCGGCGAGTCTGGTCAAATGCATCAGTGCCAGGGACATCACGTATTGTCGTTGTGGCCCTGCGGGCATCAGGGCGGTCTAATAACATTGGTGGCATACCTGAAATTGATCATGCCCGCTGCCGCACTGGCAAGCAGCGGTGTGTACTGGATGGTCCTCATGGGCGAGATGACAGTGACATCGTACTTGGCGAGCGACAGCTCGTGTGCGAGCGTGAAGCCACCCCATCCACTGCCTATAATGGCAATTTTGCTTTTGGGCATGTTGTCTAGGGCCATAAAGTGATTGATGACGGCCTTCTCAAGGGTTAAGAGTTGTGTTTGTTGTCCGTGTGAGAAGGCTCGGACCAGATGAAGATATGAGGACGCCTCCAGGAATCTCTGGGTCCCGTCTCCAAATCTCCACGTCGATTGCGCGGCCTTGCGGCAATGATGCATGGAAGTCCTGCCATCCAAGTCTCGCCATGATGACGAGTGGTCGACCGAGCGTTGTGACATGTACTCCACGCCAGAAGATATCCACAAAGCCAAGCACGTCACAAACGAGGGGTTCTGGGTGATTTTTTGACAATTTATTGGAGGGCCATTACTTGCTGTCTCCATCCTACGAGATCTGCTTCTGGTATTACACTTAGATCGCAGTAAGTAAATTAGAGGGGATAATGGTCCACAGCGGACCTGCATCTACGACGCGTCGTGACTCAGTGTTGGCTAGCACGTGCCCTGCGCCTCTGTTTCTCTGTGCTATCCAATCATGGAATTGGGTTGCCGCCCAGAGCTTTGAAGAGCTTTGAATGCTTGCCGTCTTCATAAGCAATCGGATCAAGCGAGTAATGCGCTCCAAAGAGGTGCCCAACAGCCGGCCGCCCAAGCTTAGGCTCAGGAATGCTCACAAACACCTTGGAATTCTGGTCGTCAAAGCCCGAGGTCTTGTCCTCGAAGTTTGAGATGACGCCTAGCATGGCGACAAAGTCGACCCTGTGCGCAAAGTGCTCCGTGGTGTGCGTAGAGTTGCCCAGGTACTGGATGGCCCCGTCGTCGACGACGCGCCAGTCCATGCTGGGGTTGGCAAAGGGGAACACGCGGAGCTTGGTGCGCATGTCCTCCCTCTCGGGGGAGTCGTCTGGATAGTCACTCACGAGCTGCTGCAGGGTGAGCCGCGTGAGCAGACAGCCTTGCGAGTGGCAGATGAGGACGACCTTGTTAGGCTTAACCGAGCCGTCCTTGGGCCACAGCGTGTTGTGGACCTCGTTGTAGAGGGCCTCTTGCGCGGCCCTGCTCGACTCGGTGCGCTGGATCAGCTTGTTCTTGGAGTTTTTGTGGTCCTCGACGGTCGAGTGCTCGCCAAAGCACTGGATCATGTCCCAGAGGATGCCGTCGCTGCGGTTGAAGACGCCCGTCACCTCGCGCTTGAACGCGCTGCGGATCTTGCGGCACGCCCCCTCGAACCAGACCCGCTCGTTGCCAATGCCGTTGATGTAGATCCACTTCTCGCCAATGACATCCGGGTGGGTTGGGCCGCTGTAGGCCGCCACGTACGTAGGGGAAGGGGGTTGACCGTTCTTGAAGTCGCTGTCGATCTCAATGTTCATGTCGACAGTCGAGATCGAAAGGGGTAGCTTGGGCAGCAGGCCCAGCGTGATGATCTTGCCGATTGTCAGGAGCACGCGCTGGATCTGTGCGCCGACGGCCTGCCAGTTTTCTGGCTTTTTCAGATCGAGCTCCCAGTACTGGTTCTGAGGGCTTTCCCCAGGTTTGCCCTTGGTGTTGACTCCAGAAGGCCGGACAACGTCCAACGTGAAATTGAGCAGTTCGGTGGTGTGATTGACTAGGTACTCGATGAGGCCATCGCTGGCGTCGTTGGTGAAGATGCTCTTGACAATGAGGACCACGCCGCCAGATCTCTCCACCATGCCATCGATGATGCTCTGCGCGATCCAGAGGGTGGCCATGACAATGGCTGTGGCACCCGCCGACCTGAAGATGGCCGCCGCGAAAAGAACAGGGACGCTGAAGAAAAAGTGGTAGAATGGTGCCACCATACGGTGGATGGCGTGGGAGATGGCGCGGACGATCATATTGGCGGTGTTATGAGCTCTAAGTCTTGAGTCTTTGTGGTGAGTGTGGCCAGTGTTGACAGACCAGAGCCGAGGGGGTGCCCAGGTGATAATATAGTCGGCGAGCAATAGATCACGCTATCCCTTTGGGACGGACGGGAAAGGCTGTGTCCGGTCTCCCTTCGACTGTGTCACCAACTAAACTTTGGCATGTCTGGCCCGGCCCGTGTCTCACCCGTTTGTGTGTGTGCCCCGAGCTGTGGCTTGGAACACCTCCAGGCACACTACACATGCTGGGGGGAGACACCGTCTTGTTATCTTTCAGCCGCAAAACCCTGAACAGAAATCGACCCTGCCCAAGGTTTCAGCGGCTGAGGTGCATGTCTTGCCATGCAGCCGTGCGCAGTCAGCTGCGCCGCGTTCCAATGCAACTTATCTGCGTTAGGCACAATTGACTTTCCGCCTATGTATGCAGAGTGAGCCCTCCGCATCGCGGCACTCCTCGTGCATGAGACATTTACAAGCTCAGCTGCAACCGACTTGCATGTGGCTGGCTGAGAGCAGGAGCAGCTGCTTATTTTGCATGTGATTATGGCGTTCGGGAATCAACACCACATGAGATTGTTGTGTGAGAGTAAGAATGCGACGCGACCACCAGGGGAAATTCACCGTAGGCCAGTTGTCACTGGCGCTATTCAATGACATCTAGAATGAGCTAATTACACGCTCCCGAATTACGCTCCCAGATGATGCTCTTCGCCATGTGAATTACGAAAAGAAATTTGTCTCCGCGCGAGATTTTGGCAAGCTCACAGCTAACGAACCAACACCTGGGGCCCCCAGGGCCTCGCAGCAATCGCCTCGAGCTGCTTCATCCCTTGCTCCGAATACCCATTGATGCCATACGCGAGCTGCGCATCGCTCAGCGACGAACGCAGGAACGCCACCACGACCATCTTCATCTCGAGGTTGGCAATGTGCATGCCCAGACAGATCCTCGTGCCCCCGCCGAAGCTGAAGTCGGCCTCCTTCATGGCCGTTGTGGCGTCCGCCCACCGGTCCGGGTTGAACGTGTCCGGTTCCGGATAGACGACCGGGTCGCGTGAGATGCTGAAGCCCAGGGTTGACACAGTCATGCCTGCTGGGACGAAGTAGCCGCATATGTCGCGGCCCCCTTTGGGCTGGTGATTGACACAATGTTAGATTTCAAGTGAAGTGGCAGGGTAAAATGTGTACACGTACCACTTTTCGCGGCAGCCGCCCCGGCGCAGCGCCATACAACCTCATGACCTCGAGCATGAAATAGTCGAGATACTTCAGCTTCGCAAGGTCTTCAATGCCCGGCTTTCCAGGCAGCCTCGCCTCGTCAATCTCCTCGTCCAGCTGAGCCTTGATATCGGGAAACTTGAACAGCAGCCACAGCATATACGCCAGCGTATTGGCAGTCGTGTCGGTTCCCGCGAGCATCAGGATCACGGTGTTGGACAGGATCTCGTGCTCCGAGATGCTGCCCTTCTCGCGCGCCTGCGTCTCCAGCGCCCTGTCGAGCAGGATCGTGGTGGTGGTCGATCCCGCGCCGCCTGCGGCTACCCGTGCGCGATAGTCATCAATGTACGCCTTCGCGACCGAGTTGAGGCGCGTGGACACCCCGCGCAGCGTGGAGAAGGGGAAGCAGGGCAGGTGTCTGGTCTTGGACCAGTCGCCCTGCCATAGAGCGAGGCGGAGGATGTTGAGCGGCATGACACGCTTGATGTCTTTGATATTGGTTCTCCCGTATATTGTAGCTTGGGATTAGGTATTTTGAACCCGTGATGGAGACAATGGTAGCTGGGATATGCTTACCTCGCCAGTCTCCAGCATCCCCAGGGACGAGCCCACACTCAGCTCCCCCGTCACATCAGACGTTAAGCTCTTGAACCACTTGACAAGATCGACGTAGCCCTGCTCCCTTCTCTCCCTCTCTATCTGCCGAATCAAGATGTCCACGTACTTTTGGATCAAGGGCTGGAAGGTGATCAGGTTCGACTGGGAGACTGACTTTGCGAAGAGCTTGCGCCACTCGGCGTGGTAGACTGGGTCGGCGGTCGTGAAGACGTTCTGGGCCTCGTCGAACGACGCGTCCTCGTAGAATTGCGTCTTGAGGTACTCGCTGCGGAACTTGTGAATCTCTTTGGCAGCCTTGGGGTCTGAGATGGAGACCTCGTTCGGTGTGACGCGCACGATTGGGCCTGCGAGCATCGGATTGTAAGGTCAGGTGTTAGATAGAGTGACCAGGGACAAGATCAGGGGTTGAATCCATCTACCATAGCGCTTGTGCAGGTCGTGCAAAAAGTACATCCTTGTGCCGCGATAGATATGGTACACGACGGGCAAGCCGGTGAACTTGCTCCATGTTGGGCCCGGCAGACTAGCCAGCGGGCCGGTCAAGCCGACATAGACGTGGTACTAGTAGAAGGTGGCCATTAGTCCTCTATAGATCCTGCCTTCTCAAGCAATGGAAGTGGTCCCGTACTGCTGTATAGGTAGCCGCAAATAGCCCAGCACCAATGCCGGCCACATTGACATTGATGGCGTCCATGGTAATCGTACTTGTGTTGAGGGCTGAAGCTGTGCGAGCGCCTTGTGCGTTGTGTAGATACGAGACACTGCACGATGTCCAGCAGAAGAGTGGATAGAGCCTCTATAATGCCGAAGGCTGCGACGAGAGGATCTCAAGATCTTATACATGTTCTACTCCATACCCACGGCTGCCAGGGTCCCCTCAAAGTCCATGCAGCATCTCCAAAGGGCAAAGAAAGCTATGCACGACACGGCCGCAGATATATTCCAGATAAGGACCTCCTCGCAGATCCCATCAGTCAATACAAGCCATTGCTCAGCCTGATACAGCCCGGTGCCGCAGGTGTACTACATTGGCCGCGGCTTGCATATGCTCAAGGGGAACCCCTCTTCATGCTTGTTCCGCTAACGTGGTGGCACTCATTCGGGTATTATACTCTTTGCATTATATCATCTGCTTTTGGCCTTGGAGCTTGATTGCAGCCACCAGCTCGTCCCTGACTGGAGGGTACCACATGCAAGCAGGGTCGCACAGCATGCGGGCGGGCGCTTCATATCGCATATTGCTGGCACCAACAACATGCACATCACACCGGTCTGAGGCCAGAAATCGTGGCTGCATGGCACCTCGCACTGCAACGGTGTTTCTTGGCCGAAGCCCTGCGAAGTCCAAGACTACAAGTCCAATGAATACGAAGTCCGCGTAGTGATTGTAGTACCTTAATCGCCGCAAATCCGGCGTGGAGGTCGTTTCTTGGCTGAGTGAGTAATTGGGGCAGTAAAGGCCAGTATCTATCACCGCATCTAGTACGAATTCATCCGCAATTGTTGGGTGAGTCTTTTCTTGCCGCCCTTGGCTAATGATCACAGGGATGCGATGACCTCGAGCACATCTCGCATGCCATCACGTCAAGAGCCGGCCATTTCTCATCATGTCTTGAGCCCGGTTTTGGACGTCGTTGAAGCGCATGAAGCCGCATTTCTCGCTTTCCAGGTGGTTGATTAGGCCCGCGAGGTTCTTAAAGTCTTGGCGGTAATCCCGCTTAGGGCAGTGGTAGAAAGATTGCTGGTCTGCAGCAGGTGATGGAACGACGTAAAGATTCAAGGTCAGCACCTCAGGGCGCGCCGGAATGTTTGTGAGTCAAGCTACGGGGAGACTTACGAACTGGGGAGCCAAGGTGCTGGTTGAGGCCTTTAAGGGTGGTGAAGGAGCGGTGGCAAAGATAGCACTCATAAGCGTAGCCGTTCCAGGCGCGCCCCGTGGCTTCGTACGAGTCGGAGCCGTGCCAATCAAGCAGGTTCTTGGTCATGACGCCATGGCTATCTTTGGACCTGATGATACGGTAGATCTGGTCGCGATTGAGATTCGGTGCCTGTGGACAGGAGCCCGTCTCGATGTGATGGATGAGACCGGTCGCTGTGGCGTAGCTGCGGTCACAGAAAGGGCAGGCAATGTTGGTGCCGCGATGGATGCGCGAGTTGAGGTGCTGGGAAGTGGACCATAAACTCGAGCAGCGGTCACCCAAAGTCAGACATGCCCCCCACAAACAGCCAGGGCAAGATCGTACTCTTGTCTATCCACCAGCATTGCAACAGCATTCTAAGCGCAGTCCCTCGTTCTAACAGCTTGTCTGTTTGATTCCTTGCTCTTAAGTCGAGCCGCCTGACAATGATGCTACTTCTTTCGAGGCATTTTCGACCGTAGACTGGGGGGGAACAATGCTCAAGGGTAAATCGCTATGGCTCGGTCAGCATTGACTGCAATCACCGCCATTGCCATCCGTGACAATCTGCTATGCCACATTGCCCGCCAGCCCATCCTCTCCACGAAACTCTCTCCACCGATTCGTCGACAATACAAGCTCAGTACATCCCTTGAGCAAGAAACCCCATTTCCGCATGAACCCGTCACTGACCTCCCAGCCATGCGTGCTCCACAGGCGATCGCCCCAGACCACCAGTCCTCGTCGTTCGGGATCGTCGTAACCATCATACACACCCTTGCCGAGATCGTGCGCTAGATCGTAAACGTCTATGCAGTGCGCAAGTCCGATGATGTTGTCTCGTAGCTGTGCGACAGGGATCGCTGCGAAGATGTTCAGCCAGGAAGCTGCCGCCACTGGTAGCGTCGTCCGCACAGGCGCGTACAGCGGTGTTGCCGGTGGGTCACTGTCGTTGGACCAGGACTGGGAAGAATGGGTGCGCTGCTGTAGCTCAAGGTTCGTCGGTTGCAAGTCGCGAGGTACCCTCGAGTAGTCGGACAGGTTAATAGCTGACACTGGCTGAACGCCTAGTGACTGTGGGCAACCTGAAGGCAGCAAGCCCAGTGTGGAAATTATGGACATGTTAGTTATGATTGCGTGGACGGCATTGTATTGCACCAGGATGATGATCTGGTGGTCTACCGTCATGGGAAACAGTAGTTTCTGGATAAAGCCAGTGTCGATTCGGATGCAGGCTAGAGTCCATTTGTAGGTACGTGAATGATCAGTTCCAGTGGTGCTGTATTCCAAGAACGGTCTCAAGAGCTTGATAGACGGCAGCCTCTTTGCAGAACTGGTGTTGGCGAGCGGCGGGCTTTTATGCTGAATCTCAACAGTCCGAATCCCCTTGTCTTGCGCAGCTGGCGTATTATGGTGATTCTTTCTCGGCACGAGAAGTCCAAACCCGCCCCACGGGCATCAGAGCGCCTTGCTTGCGAGCTGCTCACTTGGCGAATAGCTTTGCGCTGGCCTACGACTTTTTAGGCCAATAGGTCGGATCTTTCCTCGTGGAGTGACTTACGCCATGCCTGCTGTCTCAACCGATTCTGGAACTTCTTCCGCGTGCGCGAAGGGATGGCCGTCGTGACATGGTCTGTATCTCCAGTGAGCCCGGTCCAGGAAAGAAATAAAGGCGAGAAATGAGTGGGTCTTACCGGATTCCAAGGTTCCGGCTCCTGTCCCCGCGAACATCACTTGTGGCTGCATCGGGAGGCGTGGGAGTCTGCTCTTGCTCGCCTAATGGCACGGTCTTGAGATTTGACTGCACTCTGTGCAAAACGCCCATTGTTTCCACTGCGAGTAATCGCGTGCGGCTGTTACGTGCGGAGGAAAAGGCATGACTGTGTGCATGTTTGGATGCTTACACAACCCACTTGGACAAAGACTGGGGTTTCGAACGAGGCAACATCACTCACAAATGCAAGGGCGTTACGCGCTAGCACCAAATGCGGCGCTCCTCGGGGGAGGGTTGTGCCGTTCTGTCAGCCACAGGGAAACCACGACATCGCAATGATTGGCTGCTCTGACTTCCTGACAACAGTGCCTCTCCGCATGTTCTCGCAGCGTCTCGCACTAGGACTACTTCGGGCCATGCACCAGCGCGCGCTTGAGATTGCTCGTTCAAGCTGTGCTCTTTTGATTCGGCAACATGACACCACGGCTTGTCCCGTCTTGTCAGGATAGCGGGCAGTGCAGGTGTTGTCCGGGCAAGGTGCATATGCATCCGCTCAGTCATGAAAGTTTCTCGGTCGAGTAGCCGTAAACGGTGGTCAGCGGCTGCAGGTCAAGCTCCATCTCAATACAGGTAGTCTCAAGATAGCGGGCTTGTATAGCCAAGTCGTCCCAAGGTAGGATGCGGGGAGGGATGGATTATGTTAGCATTAACGTAATCCACAAGTGAGCGGGCCACACAAGTGAGCGGGCCACCCACCAGGTACCCGTACGACAATGTATAAGAGAATTCAACCATAACGCCTGAAATCAATTAAAACTATGAGGAATCCTCTTCTTCAGAGGCAGATATAACTTTCTGACACGTGCGAGCATTATGGCCGGGCTCGCCGCAGACGCCACATCGTCGCGCGCGCGTTTCTGGCCTCCTCGTACGACTACTATTCTGACTCGTTTCCGCCCTTAACTGCTCCGTCGCGTCGATTTGAGCCTTCAAATCTTTTGCCTGGTCAATCGTGAGGGACCCTCCTTTCTGTAGCTGCTTTCTCTTTGTACGGCGACGGCGGCTAAGGCGGTCATTTGCATCTCGAAGTTCGGCGAGTTCGTGGCGTACAAGGGTTTGCTCGTGCACCATCATTGCGATTCCTTTATTTAGCTGCCGTAAGCTTGCAATTATTGATGAAGGAGAGCTACCCTGATGCCGTACGATACGATTCTTGATGTACTCTGTCTGCGATTCGGCCTCAATTGGGTTGTTCGGCGTCTTTGAAACCCAAGGAGGTGGCAGCCCAGTAGAGGAACCTGGCGGTGTCGGCGTACGAAACTTCACATCCAGCTGCGAAATCACATAATTCGGGTCGTACGGCACTAGGCCAGTTGCTCTAAAGCCTGCCTGGATGTTTGACTTTGTCATCGCAGCGTCGTACGCCTTGTAAAAGGCTAGGAGGAAGTCTTCCTTCGCGATGTGGGTAATATGCGCCCGCATGAGACCTTCGATTTCTTTTCCGTACGCCCGTTTTAGAGGTCCGAAGCACCCGACATCGAGAGGCTGGAGCTTATGCGACGAATGAGCAGGCATACAGAGCGTGATTATATTCTGGTCCTTGCAGTACAGCTCGAAATCGACCGAGTGGTGGCTCTCGTGGCCGTCGAGAATGAGGAGCCGGTAAGCGCCCTTCGTACGGCTCTTTGTATAAAAGTCGAAGTGTTTTGCCCATTCTAGGCCTTTCTCGTTCGTCGTCCAGCCGTTTTCAGTAAGCGTAATTACCCAGTTAGGCGGTAGAGGGCTATTCGCGGTCCAGGAGTCGAGGTGGACCTTGCCTGCGAAGATGATGTACGGCGGGATCGAATTGCCGGACGCCCCGATACCCTGGATTACTGTAACCCATTCTTGATTGCCTTGTTGTACGGCTCTTGGCTTACCGCGTCGATCGGAGGTCGTAACGACAGTCTCGGCGGAGATCTTACCCATCGCAAAGCCCGTCTCATCGAAGTTGTAGATATCGTCGTCGTATATCCCGTATTTCGCGATTGTATTCCGTACGAGGGAAAACCACGCGCGATACGCGTCCGGATCTTCGCAGAGGACTCTCTGATAGTCGATTCTTCGACTAAAACGCGTACGGAGCTCAGGTCGTCGCTGTACGAAGGCTGAAGCCCAGTTCTTCCCAACGCGTAACGCGTTACGGTCGCGTAGTAGTCGATCCGCCATTTCTCGAACACTACTAAGTCGCGGTGGAAATGATCGCGAATCTAGGTCAATTACGTATCGTACGATGCTCTCCTCTTCGTATGAGGTTAATCTCTGGGTAGGCGATCGGACATCGCGTTTCGCAGGTCGGCCGCGGTGTCGTTCTTGAAGTGTCGTACGAGGCACGTTATAGACTGATGCAGCCTTTCGAACGCTCAATTTTGGATTAGATCGAAGCGCATTAAGCGCTAGAAGTAAGTCGCTTTCAATTGATTGTCGTACCATTATTGCTTGCAGAGAAAATGGATGAAGGCTGGGTATGTATGAAGGAGCGAGAAAAGTGGCCCGCTCGACCGGGTGGCCCGCTTGACCGGGATCTACGTTATTCATGTCTTATTTTCAACTCAAGTGAAGGCTGTGTATACCCCAACTACATGCCACCTCGTTCCGTGTCTGATGATTCTCTATATGCACATCCTGATGAATGAAATAAGCTATGTGAACGGCTCTTAAAACTCTCTCTGGGCGGCTGTGGGCGAGACTCGCGTACGTTTGGGACGACTCCTCGGAACGGCAAGCGCCGACATCGAACGCATCTATAGGGCCCAGGTTGAAGCCGGTGAAAAAGACGATAGTACAGCTGAATCCAGCGACGTCGAATTATCTAGTGAGCCAGAGGACTGTATTATCGTTGCATCGAGGCGTTGTTGAAAAAAGGGATAGATCCAGGGTCTGTTTTTTGATGGGGTGGATTTTGGGGGGCGTCGGATGGGGGGGTGCGTCGGAAGTGGGGGAGGGACGTATGATGATCCGTAGAGGGTAAGGCAGTAAACGAGTAGCACAATGACGTCGACAAGAGCGAACTGTCATCGTGAGCCCGTTATCATGACAGCATTGCATCGTCATGGTTACGAGAGTGCTGCTTGATTGCCATTAAGGCGCGATCGTTATTTCCGTGTGAGAAAAACAGGTTGTGCTCTGGATTAGACAGATGCGACCCAATCAATTTATGGCGATGATGGCTGACGGGACAAACAAGTCAGCCAGCCTCCGACTTGGGAAGCGTTCCTGCATCCTCGTCTCATAGGCCCTTGCTTGGCTGATGGAGGACGGCATCACCGAACAGTACTGTGCAGTGCCTCTTCTGATTGCGACACCGAGAGGATCTTGCAGTTATTAAAACTGGTTTACGTAAGTTGGGGAAGGCAAGAATTCACTTCCAGTCGCCCACCGGTCGCCCAACAGTCAGCCACCAGCCGCTTTACATATCGCACTGAAGGCTATCGCACATTATACTGGACCAAGACGAGCAGGCGTGTGGACAACCGCATCATAGTGACAGTGGCGGCTGAGGAAATCAAAGCAAAAGCAAAGTCCTGATGACTCAGGACCTGGAGCGATGGGAGTTACTCGAAAACCTCGGTAAGGGCGCCTTTAGCCAGGTCTACCGCGCACGAGACCTGGAAGGAGATGCTGGCGAGGTAGCCGTGAAGGTGGTGCCAAAGTTCAAAATGAACAACCAGGGGGTGAGTCTCGCGGTTGCCTCCCTGAACGTCCATATGCATATGACCTCCACGCCCATCGACGCTCGCACCTATGGTGTTATCGCCTTGCGGTGTCGTCAGCCTCAGCTTTCATTCGGAAATGTCGCTATTATCGCTAACTCACACTGAGACGCAGAGGGCAATGGACAGTGACACTGCAGGCAGCATTCCGTTGTTTGCAACCTGGAGGCGTGATAGATATTTCCGATATGAGCTACCATCCGCCTGGGCCAATAGGTCCCGGCAGCGCGTGGATCGATTGGTTCCGGATGCTTGCCGTCCTCACGAATGCCGCCGGCTTGGATATTGGCATCTACCGGGGTGATCGTGCCCAACGTGAGCTGAGGCACGTTGGCTACAAAGTCTTGCGCCGGCCTCGGGACCGGTACTTAATCACTACGGGGATCTCCGTTTACGGGGGTCGCTGCCTACTAGTTAGCGTGGTTGAGCAGATGAAAGGCATCCTGACGCGAGCCATGGAGTTTGTGCCAGTTTCTCTGTCGCGAGAGGAGATGATGAGCCGACTGGAGAGGGAAATCCTTCAGGATGGAATGACGATTAGAGTGTAAGTCCCACCTTTCCTCCCAAGAGGTATTGTTCGGTTTTGACCTGACATTGCAGGGAGAGAGTCTTTGCACAGAAGCCTGGCGGCGGGTGATTGAAGCCGGGGAATGGGATCCCGGAGAATAGGGAGACTGAGGATGAGCGTGAGTTTCGCGTTCTGGTTGCGGCGTGCCGGTTACATTGTACTGCAT